TTTTTTTGGTCTTTTTGAGACAGGGTCTCCTATGCAGTTCAGGCTGGCCTTGAGCTCACTTTGTAGCCCAAGCTGGTCTTCAACTTGCAACGATCCACCTGCCTCAGCCTTCCGAGTGCTGGGATTACAGGCATGCGCCACCATGCCTGGCCCTTTACTAAAGTTTGAAAGAACAATTTTTAGCAGCCAGGCATGGTGATGCACACCTGTAGTTCTAGCACTCGGGACGAAGCAGGAGAATCACCATGAGTCCAAGGCCAGCTTGGGCTACACATAATGAGTTCAAGACCAGACTGAGGTAGAGCGTGAGACTCTGTCTCAACTAAAAAAATGAAGGAAGAGCAGTTTTAACAAAATTTGCTCTATTTTTAAGTCTACGTAAAATAAGCCAAATGAAAATGTGTTCCAATGGGAAACAGTATTTTAAAGAAAAAGGAAAAAATTACCAAACAAGTATTTTAGACAGTCAATGTTCATACTAAAGAGAATTATAATACTAAAGAGAATTAATATTTCACTTTAACAATTTTATAGTATTTGCAGAAAAAAATGTAGCAAATCCAAGTTGATACTTCCTCAATTGTCAGCCTTCATTTTTTTCAAAAAATCTGTACAACTAAAAACAAATTCCTTTTTAAGTTTCATTTCTTTATAATCATATTTCACAACTTTTATAATTTATTTCATAATTTCAGTGAGCGGCAGGACAGTTTAATTCTCTAGTTAAAAGAAGCAACACACATTTACAGTAAGTAACCATGTATCATTTTCTGCTTTTTTTTCACAAATAAACCTATTTTGAGCCAGATGTGGTGGTGGTTCATACTTGCCATCTCAGCCCTCTGGAAGGCTGAGGCAGGAGGATCACAAATTAGAGCCTAGCCTGGGTACTTAATGACTTAGCAAGACCCTGCCTCAAAATTTAAAAACAGACTGGTGGAGATGCAGCTCAGTGTGAAGGTCCTGGTTCAATCCCCAGAACCACGAAGAAATAAAATAAGCCAGAAACCCTAGCAACATTTTCCCAAACACAGATGTAAAAGGCGAAAAGTTACAGCGATTCCTATCGCTGAGATTTCAAGAAGCAATAAAGAAGAGAGACAGAGCTTTAGAAGCCTGAACACTCCTGTGCCACTGCTGCTTCACATGTCGTTTTCCTAAGAAAGCTATTTAAGATGAAAGGAAAAGGAAACTGAAAGCCTAATTATAATCAGCCTGCCCAGTGCAAACCTTTAAAATGTCAACTTGACTCTGAACACATGAAGTATCTTCAAACGGTAACAATAAATCCTTTTCATGATGAGTGACCACACAAAGAGACTTCTGTAAAAGCAACAGAAAGCTGGAATGGAGGGAGCCGCCTGTAATCCCAGCTCTGTAAGAGGCTGAGGCAGGAGGAGCAACTGTTTGAGCCCAGTCTGGGGTCAACAACAACAACAACAACAAAATCCAAAAAAACAAAACAGCCCTAATCACAT